TCCGTTGAAGACAGGGTGGACATTCAGCCCTGACGGCAGCTGGACCGGCTTTGGAGAGAGGGAACTGAAGCTGGTGGGCTCCCATATAACCTGATCTCTGTCTCCAGGATGCTCTGTTCTTGAGCCCCGATGGTGCAAGCCTAGGTGGAGGCGAGGGGTGAGAACAGAGTCTGGCTGCTCTCCGGGCCGAGTCGTCCCAGGTCCTTGGTTGGCCACTGTCTTCCGCAGTGGATGCTCTCTGGTGCATGTAAAAATGGGCTACGTGGATCTTCATACTTGTGGCCCACTCCTATAGGCCTACCCGCCTGCCTCCCACCCGGTGCTCCCCGTCCCTCCCAGCCCAGTCTTGCTCTTTCCAGGCCTCTGACCAACTGGTTAAGCCACTTGCCACGGCCCACGAGTATGTGTATGCCCCTTTCTCAGGTCGCTTCTCTCTCCATGCAAACTAGATGGCCGGGTGTCCTGCCCAAATCCCTGCCTGGTGGAAGGATTCCCTTTCACCTGGGTCTTTCCATCTTTTTTTTTTCTTTAAATTTTTTTATTGTTATGTTAATCACCATACATTACATCATTAGTTCTTGATGATTCATGATTCCATGATTCATTGTTTGTGCGTAACACCCAGTGCTCCACGCAGAACGGGCCCTCCTTAATACCCATCACCAGGCTAACCCATCCCCCCACCCCCCTCCCCTCTAGAACCCTCAGTTTGTTTTTCAGAGTCCATCGTCTCTCATGGTTCGTCTCCCCCTCTGACATACTCCCCTTCATTCTTCCCCTCCTGCTATCTTCTTCTTTTTTTTTTTCTTAACATATCTTGCATTATTTGTTTCAGAGGTACAGATCTGTGATTCAACAGTCTTGCACAATTCACAGAGCTCACCATAGCACATACCCCCCCCCATGTCTATCACCCAGCCACCCCATCCCTCCCCCACCCCCCCCCTCCACCCACCCCCAGTTTGTTTCCTGAGATTAAGAATTCCTCATATCAGTGAGGTCATAGGATACATGTCTTTCTCTGATTGACTTATTTCACTCAGCATAACACCCTCCAGTTCCATCCACGTCGTTGCATCGGTCTTTCCATCTTGAGTGGAGCTCCCCCTGTGGCTTGCACCACATCCCAAGCTGTCTCACCTGTGAACCAAGTTCAGAAATGTTCCTTCTCTGTCAGCTGGTCACAATAGACCCTCCAAGTGGCAACAGGTATTTGCCAAGGGGGAAGTCTCAGTGCAAGTCTCCCCATCCCAAGTCCTGGGGTCTCACTCCTTCCCTATTAGGGGCCCGATCTTGGCGTAGGACACCTGACGGGACGGAGTGCCGACCGCTCTCTGAGGTTCTGCCAGTGAAGCCTGTGTGATCAGCACCGGCTGCAGGAGATGCGTGTTGCAATGCTTCCTCCCTTCGGTTTCCTCGGACTTGCACAACTTTGTCTTAAATCGCCAAGTAAGAGATCTGAGATTGTAATTTCCTTTCTTCGATGAATCAGTGGCACGTAGCAATAGGCTCTCAGTTCCACAGTCTCAACGCTTATTCTTTCCTCCTACCTGTCACAGGCCGGCGACACTGCCCCAGCAGGTGCAGCCCCTCCCCCTTCTCCGCAGGTGGAAGACACAGCGCATCCTGGCTGTCCCAGGCCGGTGCTGTCACCAGTGACGGGGCCCCGTTCCCATCTGGTCGGTGACCGTCTCCAGCATCCTGTCGTCCAAGGCTGGCTCCCAGGCCCACTCGAAGCCCTCGCTGCCTTAGGTCTGGTTGCCTAGGAGCAGAGCCTGAGTCAGGCCTTCAGGTTCCTGTGATTCACCGAGGGACCACTCTCAGGGGGAACCGACAAGGGAGGCCGTGAGGCAGAAGACGGATGGGGACAGGGTCGAGCAAGCATATGGCCTCAGGGAAAGTCTGGCCGGATCCACAGGGAAGACTCTGGAGCAACTAACCACACGGCAAGCAGCAAAGAGGCTGTCCCGTGGTTGCTGTTAGCACTCAGTGTTTGGCGGTGGGCCAACCTTAGGGGAGTGGGTAACCTTCCAGGCAAGGAGGTCCCTGGCTGCTGAGGTGGTTCGCTGGTGGAGAGTGGTTGCGAGCCATGCGCGCTAGATGCAGGGGAACTGGAGGGAGCTCCACGGCACCTAGTTGCGACAGGAGCCTGTGAAGACAGCAAAGAAGGCACGGTCAGGGGCACTCAAGGAGAGCTGAAGACCCAACGGAGGGGGCTGTCATGGAATCCAAAAGAAGAGTTTCCAGGAGAACGGCCACTGTCAAATGCAGCTGTGAGGGCCAGTCTCCAAGAGTAGCATGGACTTCAGTGACCAAGAGGTCACAGGTGGGCTTGCAAGAGGAGTTTCAGAGTACTTCTGAGACGTGAGCTGTAGGGAGTGGAGGATGACAAGTGAGCACGGGCAGCTTCCTCGGCCAAGGAGTCTGCATGAGAAGAAGTGGAGAGAGGTGGATGGCCAAGGGTGGGGATGTGGGCTGTAGGCCTCACCACGCCAGGATCCAAAGCTCCAGACCCGGGGAAGGTGCAAGAAAGGGGCCAGCTGATGGAGTGAAGCCCCTCTTGGGAAGAGAAGGAGGTAGTGGTGTCAGGGGCTGGGAGAAGGGCCACCACATCCTCTGGGCCTGGACAGAAGAAGATAAGGCTGGGGGAGGGTGGAGGTAGGGTCGTGGGTCGGGGAGCACGGTGTGGGAGGGTTTGGGTGATGGGTAACCTGCTTAGAGTGAGGTGGGTGTTGTTGAGCAGGAGGCTGGCGCACAGGACAGAACAAGGGACATGGGTGGATAGGGGGGTCGGAGACCATGCCCTGAGGTCTCAGGGGGGCTAGAGACCCTGATTTGTCCTGGCACTGACCTGGGGGACTGAGTGATTTTCCCCAACAGCACGCTATGGTCTTATGTGGAGGGACAGTCATTGGCATCAGGGTGGGGGCTTTGTGGGGTGGGTTGCAAAGAACAGAAACGCAAGATGACGCCTGAGCTGGAGGATGGGATGTGTGGCCCCAGGTGGGGGGCCGCCCTCCAAGCAGCCCTGAGCGCCAGGCCCTCCTCGAGCTCCTCCTGGGGACTTATGCTAGGCCCGGAGAAGGAAGTGACCAGGCTCTGGAGGAGTTGGTGGGGTGGGGCTGGGGCGGGTGGGTCTCCACGCAGCCTCGACAGGCAGCACAGACCCGTATTTAGCAGTAACGCTGGTTTCAGGCCCCGAAGTGAGAACGCAGGGACGGTTTGCTTTTTATATACCGTTAGGGAAGCCTACTGCCCTGCCTCTCTCTCCCCATCCCCTGCCCACTTCCTGCCTTGAAGGCGATGGCATTCAAACTTTTTGTTTTCAACCACAACCCACAAGTAAGAATTAATTTGACATCATGATTCAGCAGACACACACGCACGCACAACTGCAACGAACGTTTCACGATCCATCTCCTCCCTTACTCTGGAACCCTCCCAAGTGCTCTTGCTGTTCTCCTTTGCTCTCATCCATTTCAGGAAGGGGTGCTGGTCACAGCCCAGGTGGATTTCGCGGATCCCTCACCGGGTCCTGGAGCAGCACTGTGCTAAGGCGACGGGAGGTTGAGGCGACCCCTCCTCTAGGAGGGGTGTCTGCTCTCAGAGAAAACGCCTCCTGCCCCCATGATGCTGGGTAGAAGGCAGCGTCCATGGCTCAGCAGTGGCCAGGATTCCATTTTTTTAAAATTAATTTATTTATTTGAGAGACAAAGAGAGAGAGCATGAGAGGGGGGAGGGTCAGAGGGAGAAGCAGACTCCCCGCCGAGCAGGGAGCCCGATGAGGGACTCGATCCCGGGACTCCATGATCATGACCTGAGCTGAAGGCAGTTGCTTAACCAACTGAGCCACCCAGGCGCCCCAGGATTCCATTTTTAATGTAACTTCTCCTCCCCCCACCTTCCATCTCCCACCGGAAACAGAAACTGGCTACCCTGGAGAAGCCCCACAGGCAGGGGACTTCTAGGCACCCCGTTCCCCACAGGCAGTTCCGTAGCTGATGAAACCACGCACCCCTCATCCTGGCTGCTTCCTGCGTGCCCCCACCCCCCACCCCGTCACACTTAGGAGACCTGTACACTCTCCTGACATGCATTTCCACACACACAACCCAGCTACGCTCCAGCGGATATATTTGGGGGCGCCTGCCAGCCCCCACTTCCTTCTTGGAACATGCCCTCACCCAGTCCCCGTGGAAGAAAGGTCAGGCCCAGAGCTTGGGGGGGCGGGGTGGGCAGCGGCCCGGTACTGGGCTCTGAGCATCAGATTCACTTCCCCAAACTCCAGGAGGAGACACAGGGAGGGCAGTGAGTTTGTGTCAGGGGCTGAGGCTACAAGTAGTTAGGACAGTGGCCTGGGTAAGGGCTATGGCTACAGAACCCCCCCCCCCCCGCCCCCCGCTGCAAAGCACAGTCATGGAGAAGAGAAAATCCAAGAGAAATCCCAAGGTCCCTTGGGATGGTGGGGGGCAGGGGTGCTGGGGAGTACGATGGCCAGAGGGAGACGGTGAGAGAGCCAGCCAAGGGTGAGATCGGCTGAGTCAGCAGGATCCATGAAGCCTCGCTGGGCTTCCAGATCTTCATTCTGGATGCTTTGGACAGCACCCTCTGGGCCTTGGCATGGATAGGTTCCTGCTCTGCAAACCTAGAAAGTCCACAAGGGGCTTGCTCTGAGCCTGGTCAGCATTGCACACCCTCCCTGAGCCCCCAGCTGTCCCACTAACAGGAGCGGGGCCTGCTGCAAACTGGAGTCCCACCAGGAGGCGGCTCTGGGGTCTGAACATGATCACCCGGTCCCAGGTCCCAGGGCCTCCTCCAGGGACACCCGTGGTAGGGGCTCCTCCAGATTAACACCAAACCTCCTGACTGCCCGCTTGCTTGCTGTTTTTTTGTTTTTGCTGGGTGATCAGGCAGGGGTGGTGGTTTAGAAGCAGAAACAAACACCCAAACCACTCCTTACAATTCACAAAATAGCTAATTCGCCAAACCTTCGTTTTTTGTCAATTTATTTAAAAAACAATTAACATGGGCAAATGAGATACCTCAGTGTTACAACAGAGTATAGAAATGTCTAGCAATAGTCAAATAATTTGATCTTTAAATACAAAATAACCACATGAACACCTAATATACAGGTTTCATCTGAATACATATTTATTAGATAAATATTAGAGGTTGTCACATCATCTAACTACATACAGCTTTGCAAGACTAGAAATCACAATTAGTTTTCTGACCAGTTTAAAGTATGAAATGATTGCACTGTACATAGATGTACGAAGGTGATGACAGTTTCTGTGGGGGTTACTTCAGGCTGCACTGTGGGTGTGTTTATGTGTGTACGTGTGAATCACCTGCAATCATGATATCAAAAAATTATACAAAGTATGAATTTGGTTACAATTTTCTTCTGAAATCCCCGTTTCTTTTCATTATTTCCATAGCACCCTAAAAATACACAGGTGGCAGGACTAGTACACTGAAGCTAAATAGTACATGTAGGTAAAATAAAAACAAAACAGAACAAAAATTCCTTTCCACACAGGGGCAGAGTATATTACATGAGACAAATGTGAAGAGAGACCTCACGAACGCTAACAAACAGGATCTAGTTTTTCCACGTTAAGATGGAGTTCCAAGCCTTTTTTTTTTTGTTTTGTTTTGTTTTGTTCCGTAAAATAAAAACAATACACATTCCAAGGGAAATGAATGCATCTGTTAACGTGTCTCTATTTCTCATTTACATATGTACACACGTCCCTTGTCCCTTGAGTCGCTGCTGCTGACGTCGTCCTGTCTAGATGGTCAGGTCGAGGGAGCAGACGGGTAGCTCTCTGGGGGGTTTCGGGCTTCCGTGAGGGAGAAAGTATTAGAAGTTTCTTAAAAAATAAAATGGCTACAGGGAACATGATACACGGGTAAAGCTTCGAACCAAGGAGATGGGGTGATTGCCTGTACTCGGGCCTTCCCGCCTGCCCGCTGACACCCTGTCCGTCTCGTGGAGTGGCAGCAGAAACGCGTCTACGGCCTGGGTGGGTGCTTGTCATGGAGAAGTGGCTTGCTGAGGCCTCGTTTTTGCTGAGGTTACTTATGGCTCCAAGTAGTCGTCCAAAAGGATGAGGGAAGCATCTTCCCTAGAGTTCAGAACCGGCCGCCCTGGCTCGGGGAGGCTGTTGTCACCTGAATCTGTCACCAGCCGGGGCTTGCTCCAGCCCCAGACACCTTTCTGCCTCCCTCACCCTTCTGGCCTGGCTCCAAAATCACTCTGGGAGAGCATGTCCCCAGAGCACGGGCTTCAGGCACCACGGTTCGGGAAAGCTCTTTGCCCAACTTGCTGGTGGAGGTTCGCGTGGGAGGGGCCCCAGGAAACCTGCCTCAGGGAACCAGGCCCTGGCTTCCATGCAGAGATGGTTGAGGGAGGTGCCCAGAGCCCGGGCTGTGGGGAGCAGATTGACCCTCTGTACTAGAAAGCTGTGGGTAGGTCGGTGAGCAGAGTGGGGACACCCGATAAGAACCAGAAGGGACCCCAGGCCTTTCTGGGAAAAAAGTAGCACAGCAGGAAGCAGGAACTTCTAAGGAAGGCATTTGTAAGTCTGTCTGGGGCAGAACATTCCCAGATGGCCTAACACAGAGGGTGGCCACCCGCCAGGGCTCTTGGCCACCGGGCCAGGATGGCCACATGCTACCTGGCATCGTCTAGTCCCCACCAGCCGACTGGGGATGGCTCTAAGCAGTGGGCGGCCTGACCTCACTCACCCATGTACTTTGTCCCTTCATCTGTACAAATAGCCCTGGTTGCTTTTTTGTTTTTGTTTGTTGTTTTTTAAAAAAAAGGACTCGGTCTTTGTCATTGAGTCAAGGTATTTTAAAAACACCAGCAAAGGCTATAACCAGGTCATGAAAATGTCAAATATTATCAAAGACAATACTAAAATATTCACAAAGATATTTACAAAAGCAATTCTTAAAATAATTGATTTGCATACGGAACACCACACTGTCTGAAAAAACCTCGACAATGGGACAAAGGAAAAGGGGGCGGGGACCACGGCAGCTTTCCTACAGAAAACCCTGTGCCGGCCGTCTGGTACAGTGACTGGGAAGTCAACAGCTGGGGCCACCGTTCCGGTCAAATCCAGAGGAGTGCTGGGGACCACCCGCCACGGGGGGGGGGAGGGGAGGGGAGACGGGGATTGAGAACGGCGGACAGTGGACGGAAAGCAGGAGGCCCCAGGCAGCAGCAGGGAGGGGCGCAACGAATTCACAGACGTGACCCAAGTGACCTGACGGCACAGCAGCATCACAGGCCATGCGGCTTGGGGGGGGGGGCACAGAGGACCCCCAAACAAAACGGACGCCCCCACAAGCTCCCCGGGAGACTCCGAGAGCAGGAAGCCGGATGGAGCGAAGCAGTGGAGGGACAACCAGAGGCTGCTTCTGCTCGAGCGAGCAGGAGTGTGGCAGAGGGACACGGAGGAAGGGAGAAGCCGGCAGCCAAGCGCGGCACGGAAACACCACGGGATGCTTGCGGGCACATTCCGGCACGTGTGGTGACGGACCGGGCTGCAGCTGGGGCAGCCTGGAGCACAGGGGCAGATGGGGCAGCCGGGCCGCGCAGGTGCCGAAGCCCGGGGCTCCTGCTGCCGAGCGCGCGCAGGTGCCCCGAGCCTCCCGCCTCTCCACCGGCGCCCCCGGCTGGCAGGGTGGACAGAGAACGGGGGCAGAGGGAGGCGGGTGTCCCACGTAACAGTCTGGGAGAGGTGGGCTGGGGCAGGAGGAAGGGAACAGGACGCATGGAGAGAAATGGTTTGCTTGCCGACTGAGTCCACCGTCCCTTTTCTCAGATGACTTCGTAGCTTCATTACATTGTCATTTAAAAACAGGGAGCGGCTTGGAGCAAAAGTTGTAGGTTGCCGTTCCCATCCGACTCCGGCTGGCGGCATCCCCCTGCCCCCCAACTAAGGGCACAATATTTTCGGCTGGGTACTCTCTCTCTGCCCCCCACACCCCCGCCCCGGCCTGAGTCCAGAGGTCGTGGGGCCAGCTGCGTTGTCTTGGCTCTGAGGAGGCCCTGACCCCCTTGCGCACCAGTCCCCAAGCAGGAATGGCACACCCTCCCTCAAACACAGAATCTTGTCCTTTTCTCTGCTTTCTGAGAGAGGAGTGTTTTTACAGGGTATCTCGGCTTAGAGGTCAGGGGTCAAAGTGACGGCCTTGGCCCCTGAGAGAGTTCTCTTTCCCAGAGGTTTGTGCTTTTCTGTGGTGGGTGGTGGTGGTGGTGGTGGAGGGTGGGTCGTTCTCACTGCCGCCAACCGTCACTGTTCCTCCAAGGCTCGGGGGGGGGGGGCTGCCTGGGTCTCGGGGTGCCCCTCTCTCAGGCTCACAGTCACTTGAAGGAGGCTCTGGGCCAGGAAGCAGGGAGGCAGGATTACAGTTTAGAAACCGGAAGAACCTCGGGGGCACTGGAGGGTCGTTTGGAATCAGCACACACGGAGGGACAGGAAGCCTTCATCAGCGTGTGCCCTCTCGCTGGGCCGGTTCCCCACTGCGAGGGTCATCTTCAGGGCCTGCTCTGGGCATGGGCACCAGACCCACACAGCCTTCACAGTGCACCCTCCCGCCCCTCTGCTCTGAGAAGGCCGCAGCAGGGGCGGTCTGAGGGCATGGGCTCCCAGTGGTAAAGTGTGTGGGGGACAGACGGGGAAGGAGGCAGAGTGGGGAGGGATGGCCCCAATGGAGGAGCGGGCTTCAGTTGTTCTCAAAGAGAGACAGGAGGTCATCGTTACTATTGCTCGGCAGGTCAGGGGGATCCAGGTACGAGAGGAGCTCATCGGGATTTGTGAGTTCTGGAAGGAGCTGGAAGAGAAGTACAGAAGCCCAGATGAGGTGTCAGCTGAGGGGCTGGGCTGGCCCAGGGTGAGGACTGCAGGGGCACATGCCCTCTAGCTGCTGCCTGGGGTCCTGGCCCAACAGGGGAAACTAACCATGCTGGCTGTCCTCAAAGGCATCCAGGCCACAGTGCTAGTCTGAGGCATACCCGTGCTTATTCCCGGCTTGGGAGGGGGGTGCCCCTGGCCCACCAGCTGGGAAGGCTCATGGCATCAAGGGGCTTTCTCTTGATCCCATTGTGCCTCTGGCCCCAAGACCCTGCCCAGAGGAGGTGTGGGTCACATGGGCCTCCCAGTCGGAACCACGTGGCTTTGCACGTAAGGCCGCGTGGTGCCTGCTGCTCTCGCCACCCCGGACCTTCCTTCAAGAGCTCACTGCTCCCTGGTGAGCCTACGACTGGAGGGCAGCATAGCACCATCCTTCCCAGTGGCCCCCGGGGCCGAGGCTGCACACTGTCCCTACCCTCCTCCACTGTGAGGCCCTTGGAGCCTTTTTGTCTCACTGGGGATCCTCATGAACCTAAAAGCCCCACCGGCCTGGTCTGCGGAGGAGAGCTGGGTGTGAATTCAAGACGGCCGCGCCGCAGAATAAACCCCATTCGCCATGCAGCCGGACACTGCCCGGGCGGAGGGCGACAGAGGGACCGGGGCGTGCAGACCGCGGCGGCTGAGGAGGGAGCAGGTTCCTCCCCGGGAACCGACAGCCCAGGGCTGTGGGACGGGAGGGGAGGGGCAGGGGCCTCTAGCCAGCTGCCCGGCCCCCATCACAGGGAGCCTCCTTCCACCCCACTTTCCAGACCATTCGGGTCCCAAGGTGGGAGACCCCTGAATCTCAGGCACCCACTTCTGCCCCGGGAACCCGGGCACGACCCGAGGCTGGTCCTTTCTCAGAGCGAGCGATGGAGCAAGCAGAAGCACAGGGCATGGACGACGCACGGACAGGAAACTGGACACAGACACAAACCGGCGACACAGACAGAGGGACCCTGTCACTCCAGCCCCTCCCCTGCCTCAGGCCAGAGCGTGGCGGACACTGAGATGGCAAGCTTGATGTGGGGGGTGGGGGTGGCGGGGAGGGGGTCAGAAGAAGGGCAGGGGCCTTCCTGTGCTTCCTCCAGAACCCTGCCCCCGGGGGACCCTGTGAGGGCCTGGGGGCGGCGGGGGGGGGGGGGGGGGGGGGGGGGGGGGGGGGGGGCTGCAGGACTGTGGCCCAGGGGGCCAGAGGGCAGGCGCTGGCAAGGTCAGGGAACGGATGCTGGGACCCTCGGGGAGGCTTCCCTGCTGGGGGGGGTCCCCTGGTTCTGGAGCCAGGGGAGGCAGGCTGGCTAGGCCCACCCACCACCCACCCACCCCCTCACAGCTGCACCTCCTCCACCCTGGGCCTTGAGCCCTCAACACCCACCCCTGCGCTTGGGCAGGTCCCGGCACCAGGCCTAGTCCCAGGCCAAGGCCAGTGGTGACCCCAACTTACATCCAGCGAAGGCTCCGGCATGTCGGACGCTCCCTGCGCTCCGGCCTGACCCTCTAAGGCTGAGGAGGGGTTAAAGGTCAGGTCGCTGTGTGGATGGTTGCTGGGAGCGGCCTGTGGCGGTTGCCGGGGAGGCTGGGAAGGAGGAGGAGGAGCCCCACTGTGATGTAATGGAGGCCCTGACTGGCTGCTGGGGTGTGGGACGTGCAAACCTTGTTGTATGGAGGGATGGGGCTGGTCAGAACTGCCAGCGTGTGGCATCTGTGGAGGAGGAGAGAGCAGGAGAAAAGAAATGTGAGGTGACGAGGTACAGCGACGAGATGCCTGGAGAAATGAAAACCAAACAAAACCGGGAAAATAACAAACCCCCAAAACAAAGCCACCCCCTTACCAAAGCTCAATGCTTTGTTGTTGTTGTTTTGCAGAGAAACAAACAAAAAAAAGTCCTCCCCCAAAATTGCCAGTCCAGGAGGCTGTGGAGGGGGAGGCGGGGAGGGGGCCTCTGAGGCCGTGGGGGTCCGGGAGGGAGGCGGCCAGGGGCTCGGAGACAAGCACACACTGAGAGCGGGCTGCAGGCCCCTGCAAGCCCCTCCGCCTCTGCGGCCCGGACACCACCACCACAATGAACAGCAAGGGCAGAATGGAGAAGCAAAATGGGCATGTTTCCAGGGAGCGGGGAGGCGGCGGGAGGGGTGCTGCTGGCAGCGTGGTGCAGGCCCCCCTGCGGGCTGGGGCGGCAGAGAGCAGACACGGACAGACAGCATGGGCAGGCGTGCAGCTCGGGAGGGGTCTGCGCCCCACCATGGGCCCCGGTCGGTGGGCGACGCTGGCCAAAGAGGTTCCAGAGCTGGGGGCGCTTCTCCGCATTGCCAGACCCTTCCTGTTGGCCATCCACCTAGGCGGCAATAGGCTGCCTCTCTGGGGGTCCTCCAGGCCCCGCCCTGAGCCCAAGGGCTCACTGAGTCCGGGGTGGGGGGGTTCCCTGCTGAGGCTAGGGCAGGTGATGCTTCCCTGACAGACAAACCAGAGGGCCCGTGCTTCCCCGCGGGCATATGCACTGGAACACGGGGCTGTGGCCGGGTAGGGGGCCGTATGCTGGTCTGTGTGCTGTCCCAAACGGCCTCCCTTCAGAGTTCCGGTCTTAGAGCACCCTCACCCTACTGCCAGGGACCCGACAGGTCACCCCACCCTGCTTGCACTGTGCTCGTCCAGGTGAGACGGACTAGCCAGACGGCCAGTGAGCACGTGTCTCCTGGGTCCTTTTGTACCTCCCTACCCACCCCATCGTCCAGGCCACACAGACATTTTGTTTTTCTGTTATGGGTTGGGAAACAGCAGCCCGACCTCCAGACCCTGTTTCTCTGGAAGCTGCTCCCAGGCCTTGCGGTGGGCCTCTGCTCGGTCCAGCGAGCCCCTCCAAGCGGGGACCTGACCGCAGGACCGTGGGACTGCGTGGGGAATGCACACGAGATATGAAGGACCGAGAGAGTCGGGAAGGACGGCCACCACAACCGTCACTATGAGGCCAGCTTGTGACCCCAAAGCCACGCCTGTGGGTGCCCCACAGTGCCCAGTCAGGGGGGCAGGGAGTGGCTCCACACTCCTGGAGCAGCCCAGCCCAGGACAGACAGTCCCCTGATCTGCTGACACAGCTGTCCCCCTTGGCCCTGACAACTTGCTGGAATGTCCCAGGGCCCAGAGGGGCAGGTGCTCTATGCAAGGGAGGGTCCTGCGGCGAACCAACACCTCACTGGAGACTTTCCGCCAGTTCCCACATGCGGGGAGCGGATGCTCAGCCAGAGCCAGGCTGCTGTGGTGTAGGGCAGTTTATCTGTGACCCTACTGTCCCTCTTGCACAGCCGTCCTTCTGGATCCAGCTGCCGCCTAGCAAAAGCCCAGACATGGGGAAGGACAGTACATATCTGGGGAGCATCTTGGGGGGGGGCTGGGAAGTCACCTAAGGGCTTAGGTCCCTGTGCAAAGACCCCAGCTGGCCCGGCTAAGAAGGCAGGAGAAAGCCTGCTGGACCCAGAAGTACGCGGCATCCTGTGGCCATTTTCCGGAACCGAGAGCTGTGAGTCAGGGTGTGTGACGTGAGTGTGTGTGGAGTGTGATCTGCGTGACTCCGGGGCACGGAATGCTGAGGAAGGGGGGCTAGGAGAGAGGCACCAGAAGTCAGAAGCCCCACGGGGCAGAAAGTAACTTGCAAAAAGGTGGCTAAGGCCCCGTGACGGCAGCTACGTCTGACGTGGCATTCTGGAGTTCCAGAGGAAAGTTGCTACACTGTCTCTCAGCCTGTCAGCCTTCCAGTTAACAGTCACTCCTGCTGAGAATCGGTGGCTCTTGCCCACAAGACGGCTTCCGGCAGAGCCAACTCTGTATGGAACATAATGCCATCCAGAGGCCCTTCCTCCCAGGCCACATGGTGGAAGATGAGAGGGCCCGGAGCCTTGTCCTCCTGTGCAGGCCTGCCCAACCCCACTGCCAGGCCTTCTGTGACCACCCCCTCCTCCTAAGGGGAGAGACCAGGGACGCACAAGATGACTGAGGCCTGACTTCAGCCCTCAGGCCTCCGTGTTCCCAAAACCCAACTCCTTCCATCCGAGCAC